ACCAGCTAGGCTTTCTTTCGTGAAAAAAAACCGCCCATGTGACTGCCCATGTAAGCCGTCGCTGGAATCCTTGAATAACGCAGGTCGGACTCACGGCCAATTAAGGCGGTCGCAGGCCATTGGCTCAAAAAAGCGACCCAGAATCAGGTTCCCTGCATGGGAGAAAGGACCACTTCTAAGTTCCTTCTCAATTCGTGGCCAAGCTGATGCTTAAACCACCTGTTGGAACCTTGAAACAAGTAGCCCCTGTCCTCTCAAGTCCCAAATGCCGAGCTTGCACAGGACACTTTGGGGGCTCCAGTTGAGAAATATATATGTATATACATATATATATATATATATGCCCCCCCCGAAACCTGCGCCTGCTGCTTATGCAAGGGGGTCAAGTCACTTTGAACAGATATTACCAAAAGTGGGCTCATGTTTTTGGCAGACTTTCGCAGACTTTCGCAGATGATTCATTAAGACTTTTGCCACCCATGCGCATAGCATTTGCCCTTCTATTTTCTGAACAAACTGTCTGTGGCATTCCTCCTCTTGACCTTCTTTCTTCATCATTTCGTTCATGTTCTTGTCATAAACTCAACCTGTTTCAACACAGGTTAATGGGACAATTAACATCATACGCAACGTGTTGTACAGTGTAAAAGCGATGTTAGGTAACGTGGCATAATACACAAGGTTGAGACCACAATATGTCCTACAATATATACATCTCTGAACAAAAATGTCAGCCAAGAAAAACGTATCTGCTGTCAAATAGAAATCGTGATTTGCTCTCAAATGTTATCCTCGCTCAATTGACTGTAAAAAAACATCTCTGTGAGGGTACCGACGCAAGTTTTTTTCGAACAAAAAGGTAAACCATACCTCTTCTGCTTTGCCTACACAGATTTATCATCTCAACTCATGTGCAAATCCTCTTCGTTTGTCAACTTACAAACCGGTGGCAATACCAAAATATCTGCTACCCATCCTTCATCTCTCATCTCAAGTCATCTGCAAATCCCCTTTGTCTGTCAGCTCACAAACCTTAGCCAAAACCAAAACGTCTGCTCACACCAATATGCCCTGACCAATGCCTTGCTGTCTGCTAAAAGAACTATTTACCTAAACAAAATATGTTCTGCAAAAAGCCTGCTAGACAGCGTGCAAAAACTGGTATTTGCAGTGCTTTATCAATGTCCAAGGGTTGGTGCGGAGCTTTTTAAGTCATTAAAGAACCTATCCAGTGTCCATATGCTGAACTATCAGCTGTATATACCGCGCACAAGTCGAAAAGGATAATGAGGTGCATATCAAAGCAGGAATGGATGAAATCAGATGCTTTATTAAAGCGCTTTAAAGCACTTTTGGATTCAAGATTCAGGATTCTAGATTCCCAGGACTCTAGATCTGGGAAATTTGAATCCAGTCTGCCCCCCCCCCAAAACGCTTTAAAGCGCTTTAAAGCACTTTTGGATTCAAGATTCAGGATTCTAGATTCCCAGGACTCTAGATCTGGGAAATTTGAATCCAGTCTGCCCCCCCAAAACGCTTCGAAGCGCTTTGAAGCGCTTTAAAGCATTTTTGGATTCAAGATTCAAGATTCCCAGAACTCTAGATCTGGAATCTTGAATCCGGTCTAGTTTAAGCGTTTTCATCTTGGCTTGCGGATTCATAGAGTCACAGTCAACTGTGCAGATGCGGGCATGAGTATTGGAGTGCCTGAAAAGGGGGTGGAACTCGCCCAAAAGTCCTTTCGGGCATTTTTTTTGGGGAGGCTTACCATATATATATATATATATACATTATATGTGTGTATGGGTGTGTGATGTTTGAGGGTACCCCTTCCGGAGCGTCGGGGTCACATATCAATATATTGCCACATCCATCTCACAGAGCGCCTGCCGGTCCAGCAGAAGGCCCACACGCTCCGCCAGCTTCGCCTCCCCGCTTCAGTTTTGGCCCATAGCCTCGAATCTACAAGAGGGATCCTTACATTATTATACACCTGAACATTGCCTTGTAAATGGTGGTGTCCCTTTATTTTGGTGGAAAAAGCCATGTCTTAAATGGGCAACATGTATCTTTTAAGGAGCCCTGCACAAGTATTCCCCCAAAATGGGCTGCAGTTGCACGTTGATTTCCTTTCAAAACCATACGCCCAGCTTGCATCAAAGCCAGTCAGTGGCAAGCTTGGAGGGAAAGAGTCTTTTCATCCCCTTGTGGCTTCGTTCAACGGAAATACGTCAAGAGATACCTTTTACACCCGAGTCTTTGAGCATGAATTGGTTGTTGTCAATTTGGTGCTTCTGTTGCGTCACCTTACACACAATCTTGAAACTCCCGTGAGGCCAAAATGATATCACTTCCAAATGGATTGGGTTGGAATCCCGATCCGATGTTGAAACGCATTACAAAGGGGGCCCTTTGGTATCCCGTACTCATGTTAACCAGGTTTATAAAACAGGTTGACTAATAGAGAGCGCAACCCAGTTTGGAGGGAGCTTCGACTTCGATCCGGGGTAAAACATGCGGTTCAATGAACAACAGCAACTGAAGCTTCCCCGCTTATTCCTGGAGTCGAATGTGGCAACCTGAATTCGGGATCCAAGCGGCCTTGGGCCCAAGCTCAGATCCATACCAAGTATGGAACAAGCCTGGTTATAAGTGGGACGGCAGTTGGTTTACGCAGGATGGTTGTAGCCTGTACCCTGCCTACGAGGTGGGTTTGACCTCTGACACGTCTCCCGTCTCCAGCCTTCGGCTTGCTCGGATCCCATCGCCTGCCCTGCGAGGCCCGACATGTGTACCAGGAACCGAGCCGGTGGGGTGTAGGCCCAAGTTTTGGCCTTGATAAATTGTCATATCGACCAAAAGCTCCTTAGCGGAATTTCACCCCACAAACTCTGCCCTTTCAAGCCGTCCGGAAAAAGGGTCATGCCTCCTTTGCCCCATTCACAAAGCCAGGAAGATCTGCCATAGCCTTAGGCCCTCACTATGAGGGTGAATCATCAAACACAAAACTATTATATAAAACAAACGGTTCTTTCGCGAAAACACATATTTTCAAAGCCCTAGTACCCCGTGCCAATAGCTGAAAATCAAATAAAATCAATTGTACCCGGTGTATTTGGGTGTCCAAATTGGACTGCGGGGTTCCTTTAAATTGCCATTCAAAGCGGCAAAAAATGAGGGTACCTTAAAAAAGGACGCACCCAAATAGACTTTACTATAAACGCCAGCACACATTGTGGTAGAACTAGAACCAACTTCCAAAATTGCCAATTGGGGTGTGGGGGTGGGAGCTGCTTGCCGGATTCTATCGGCAGATAGCAAATCGGTGAGGATCCCTAGAATGAAATAAGCTTCCCTGCAATTTGCGATATGGAAATTGTGGTTTGGATAATAGGGGTTCCTATTTTACGCTATACAAGAGCTAGGGGTTCAGATGCATATCCAAACCACCAATCAAAATCGAGGGGTCCCTGACCCAACCAGGCAAACCCTTTGAGGGGTCCTATTGAGCTAAGGGCTATCGCCCAACTCGAGATTTTTTTCTGGGGAAACGGCATCCGAGGCCGGACATGCCTCAGCGTCAAAGGCGATGCTTTCGGCAGAGTCCAGGAAGAGCGAAGACCTGTCAGCTGAGAGGGCGCGCACTTGCGAAACAAAATCCACACGCCTAGTAACGAAAGGAAAATCCTAATTGCGACCCTTACAAAGACTTTAACAAGGCCTTGCAAGGAGTCTTACAAAGGAGTCTTACAAGGCCTTGCAAGAAGTCTTACAAATCCTTACAAGGAGTCTCACAAGGTGTTGCAAGTAGTCTTACAAGGCCTTACAGATACATGTCAAAACGTCTTGCAAAGAGTCTTACAAAGGTCTTACAAGGAGTCTTACAAAGAAGTCTTACAAGGCCTTGCAAGAAGTCTTACAAAACCTTAGAAGGAGTCTCACAAGCCGTTGCAAGGAGTTTTACAAGGCCTTACAGAAACATGTCAAAACGTCTTTGATATTACAAGGAGTCTTACAAGGCCTTACAAGAAGTCTTACAAAACCTTAGGCGGAGTCTTGCAAAACCTTGGAAGGAATCTTAGAAAATCGAAGGAGTCTTGCAAGGCGTTACAAGGCGTTATCCTGTATCAAAATTGATGTTTACCTTATTAGTAGCTCTGTTCTTGCTATTAGGTGACCCACTCGTCAGCCGACGAGCAGGCGGCTGGTGCGATGTTGAGCCTAACGAGCTCCTTGCCGAGAAAAGGGCCCTTCCCTCATAAGTTCCTGACAATGATTACAAGATTGCCTGCAGCACCCATCTGCAGATCAGCCTGCGGTCTGAAACCTGGATTTGCAACTTGGAAGTGTTGGGGGTTTGCCTCAACAACCCGAAAAAGCAAACCATTTGGGCACACGGAATTCCAGCAGCGTCCTTCAAGATCCAAGCCAGCGACCATTCTCGAAACTCCAACATGAAAGAAGCGCCGAAGACTTAGTGCTTTGCCTGAGGCTAGCAAAGCTCCTTGCTGTGTCTCACTTAGACCAGAGACCCTGGCAGAAAAACTTGCGGAAAATCTACTCTACATTTAATATCGGTGAAGTTGCAAAGGGAACCAAAGGGAGAACCATCCTCCATTTCAGGGGATTTGTGAACAAGACTTATTCCGTTCGTGTCCTTCCGTTGCCCTAGCGGGAACCTGACTCGGGGGCTTCCTCAAGAAAAATAACCTGGTTGATGGCAATTCAGCCGCCCACAAGCTCGGGATATCCAAGGGATGGATCTGAACAGGTCACCATAGAGTGACCATAACAGAGATGTGACCATAGCGGTCTGGTTCCAAGCCTTGTGGAAAATACGCCTTTCTGTGATACCAAAACACACTATTCCTACGACTACTTTGTCACTTGAAAGGGGGTTCCTGTGCTAGCACATAAAAGTTGCTAAAAACTCCCTTCCCACTCCTTCACCCCCGAGTGCACACTGCCCACGTGGGAGTGTCCCGAATTAGGCATGATGGATGGTGCATAAATGAAGGGAAATCAAAAGGAAACCAACGATTTGTTTGCGTCACTTATGGCAGGAACCAGGCATTTAAACAAAACATGACACTTCAAAGCGTGCAGTAGTATTCCCGCTACGTCACATCTGAGTGAATTCGCCCCCCAAAAAAGGGCAACAGTGTTTTATGTTTACTAGGGTTGTTGTTTTTTCCTAGGGCAGGTTTTCCGCAGGGCTGACAACATCCTCAGCATCACCAGCATCACTTGGCCCTGGGGTTGCCTATTGGCTCTGATTTAATGGCAGTTGGGAGTTGCTGGGGTCTCGTTTAAGTTAGGGGGGGTTGGCTGGCTTAGAACAACATGAGGGCGGATCTTGCGGTGGTTTGGGGTTGGTTTAGGCGAAGCGAAGGTGACAGAGGATGTGGGCAGGTTTGGTTGACTTGGAGCTGATTTGTGTTCGGTGTACTGCTGGTGAGGGTTGTTTTAGGGTGTGGTTGAGTGAGTTGCACAAATCAGCTCCAAACCAACCCAAACCCACTCAAAGTCAACCCTAAATTTGCCCAACAGCATCCTAAATGTCAGCCCCTCGCTTCGCCTAAATCATCCACAAACCACCGCAACACCCGCCCTCATGAAGGACCCCGGCAACTCCCAATTGCCATTCAAGCAGAGCCAATAGGCTGGTGATGCCAGGGCAACCAACCAACCAACCAACCAACCAACCAACCAACCAACCAACCAGGGGACCAGCCCTAGTAGAAAAAAACACCGGCCTAACAAAAAAACACCGGATCCCAAAGAGGCACCATGTTGTTGTTGGCAACTTGAGGAGGGGGTGAACGAAAACTAGAAACTGTTGTATGAGATGGGTCGAAAAAATAGATTCCATAGGTAGCTTGCGCGCCATGAGAGGCGCCGGAAAGATGGTCAGGAGGCTACACGTAAACTGACATGGTGGCCCGGCAAACCGTGAAAAATGAAAATAACAAGAGCTGTCTCAAGCCATCTTAAAGCATTTCTGGGTTCTGCATGTTGCTTGCGCACGGCTTCCTGCAAGGTGCTTTCCTGACAAGGCTGAGAAAGACCACGAAATATGACAGACCGATGCCCTGGAAATGTGTTTCTTGGGGGGGGGTGGACCAGGGGATTCGGATTCGAGCCCGGGAAGAGGGGGAGGGTCTAAATAATTGATTCGTTTGAGATAATTGATAAAATCAATCCTTCGGCATTTCAGCCCCTTGCTTACGCAAGGAGAAACTTCAGCTAGCTAAAACTAGCTTTCGTGAAGACATCTTCATCAGCCCCCTTGTCGCAAACCTTCCTGATGAGCAGCTGGTACCTTGGCAGTGATGGCAAAAGTATACACCAAACTTTGGTAGAGCCAGCAGCCGCGTTCAAGAGCAGCTGCGGAACGTCCAGCACATCCAAGCAGCAACTGATGGCGCTTTTGCTGCCAGTCTTGAATCTGGGGCGGTTGTCGGGGCGGAGGCGAGCAGCAAGAGTGTGCGGCATACACAAGGAGCTTTTTGCTGCCGTTCTTGAATCTGGGGCAGTTGTGACCTGGGATGTTGCAGACTGGGGCGGAGACAGCAGCCAGGTGCAAGAGTAGCTGAGGAACGTGCAGCGCATCCAGGCAAATTATGTGACCTGGGGTTGTGCAGACATGGGCGGAGCCAACAGGAGGGGGCGAACGCAACACGCCGAGCCCTATGGCAGGTGATGGTTCGGTTCGTCGGCGAGAAGGTCGACCCGACGAGGAAGTGGATGGTAGACGGGAGAGATGATGTGCTGTGGGAAGCTGCACGCAGAAGAACGGGACACGCCGTACTGCCAAGATGGGGGAGGTGGAAGGGCTTCTGGAGGCGGTCCTGCTATATTTTGGTCTGTGCAAAATAAAATGTGCTCGGGCTGGGAAGTTTGGGTGGGGGGAATGGTTCGCGGGTGTGATTCGAGGTATGATTTGGGGGTATGAGTCGGGGTATGGTTCGCAGGAACTGAAGCTTCTGTTGCAAAATTAGCTGCGCTGACGATGTTGTCAGCGAATTTTGCGTCCGTGGTCGCAGGGATCACGCGCACAAACAAAAAGGTATGCTTCGACGTATGGTTGGGGTACGATTCGGGGTATGGTTCGGAAGCAAGGTTTTTCTGCCGTAGCAGTAGCAGTAGCAGTAGCAGGAGCAGTATCAGTCGCAGTAGCACTAGCAGTAGCACTAGCAGTAGCACTAGCAGCAGCAGCAGCAGCAGCAGCAGCAGCAGCAGCAGCAGCAGTAGTAGTAGTAGTAGTAGTTAGTTAGTTAGTTAGTTAGTTAGTTAGTTAGTTAGTTAGTTAGTTAGTTAGTTAGTTAGTTAGTTAGTTAGTTAGTTAGTTAGTTAGTTAGTTGGTCAGTTAGTCAGTTAGTCAGTCAGTGAGTTAGTTAGTTAGTTGGCTGGTTAGTTAGTTAGTTAGTTAGTTTGTTTGTTTGTTAGTTTGTTAGTTTTTGGGTTTGTTAGTTTGTTTGTTTGTTAGTTAGTTAGTTAGGTAGTTAGTTAGTTAGTTAGGCCGTCCGCCGTCCCGCCCCGCCGTCCGCCGCCCGCCCCGCCCCCGCCGCCCACTCACTCACACTCACTGTCTCACACTCACTCACACACACTCACTCACACACACTCACTCACACACACTCACTCACTCACACTCACTCACACTCACTCACTCACTCACTCACTCACCCGCACAAAGTCACTCACTCACACACACTCACTCACACACACTGACTCACACACACTCAGTCACACACACACCCACTCACACTCACTCACACACACTCACTCACTCACTCACAGGGGCAGCATTTGGGAGCTGTTTAAAGGGCTGGGGTGTTGTCGCGCGCGCGGCTCGGGGCTCGCAAAATCGTGGCAGGCGCAGCACTTTGGAGATGCCGTTGCCGAAGTCGTGGCAAGCGCAGCATTCTGTGCATCTGAGCGTGTGTTTGCGTGGCAGGGGCAGCATTTGGCAGGTGTCACTCACACACACTCACTCACACACACACTCACTCACACACACTCACTCACTCACTCACACTCACTCACACTCACTCACTCACTCACAGGGGCAGCATTTGGGAGCTGTTTAAAGGGCTGGGGTGTTGTCGCGCGTGTGGCTCGGGGCTCGCGAAATCGTGGCAGGCGCAGCACTTTGGAGATGCCGTTGCCGAAGTCGTGGCAGGTGTCACTCACACACACTCACTCACACACACTCACTCACTCACTCACACTCACTCACACTCACTCACTCACTCACTCACAGGGGCAGCATTTGGGAGCTGTTTAAAGGGCTGGGGTGTTGTCGCGCGCGCGGCCGGGGGCTCGCGAAATCGTGGCAGGCGTGGCAGGCGGTGTCACTCACACACACTCACTCACACACACTCACTCACGCACACTCACTCACTCACACTCACTCACACTCACTCACTCACTCACAGGGGCAGCATTTAGGAGCTGTTTAAAGGGCTGGGGTGTTGTCGCGCGCGCGCGGCTCGGGGCTCACGAAATCGTGCCAGGCGCAGCACTTTGGAGATGCCGTTGCCGAAGTCCTGGCAGGCGCAGCATTCTGTGCATCTGAGCGTGTGTTTGCGTGGCAGGGGCAGCATTTGGCAGGTGTCACTCACACACACTCACTCACACGCACTCACTCACAGACACTCACTCACTCACACTCACTCACACCCACTCACTCACTCACAGGGGCAGCATTTGGGAGCTGTTTAAAGGGCTGGGGTGTTGTCGCGCGCGCGGCTCGGGGCTTGCGAAATCGTGGCAGGCGCAGCACTTTGGAGATGCCGTTGCCGAAGTCGTGGCAGGCGCAGCATTCTGTGCATCTGAGCGTGTGTTTGCGTGGCAGGGGCAGCATTTGGCAGGTGTCACTCACACATACTCACTCACACACACTCACTCACACACACTCACTCACTCACACTCACTCACACTCACTCACTCACTCACAGGGGCAGCATTTGGGAGCTGTTTAAAGGGCTGGGGTGTTGTCGCGCGCGCGCTGCTCGGGGCTCGCGAAATCGTGGCAGGCGCAGCACTTTGGAGATGCCGTTGCCGAAGTCGTGGCAGGCGCAGCATTCTGTGCATCTGAGCGTGTGTTTGCGTGGCAGGGGCAGCATTTGGCAGGTGTCACTCACACACACTCACTCACACTCACTCACTCACTCACTCACTCACTCACGGGGGCAGCATTTGGGAGCTGTTTAAAGAGCTGGGGTGTTGTCGCGCGCGCGGCTCGGGACTTGCGAAATCGTGGCAGGCGCAGCACTTTGGAGATGCCGTTGCCGAAGTCGTGGCAGGCGCAAGCATTCTGTGCATCTGAGCGTGTGTTGGCGTGGCAGGGGCAGCATTTGGCAGGTGTCTAAAGGGATGGGATGTTGTCGCGCGCGCGGCTCGGGGCGCGCGAAATCGTGGCAGGCGCAGCACTTTGGAGATGCCATTGCCGAAGTCGTGGCAGGCGCAGCATTCTGTGCATCTGAGTGTGTGTTTGCGTGGCAGGGGCAGCATTTGGCAGCTGTCTAAAGGGCTGGGATGTTGTCGCGCGCGCGGCTCGGGGCGCGCGAAATCGTGGCAGGCGCAGCACTTTGGAGATGCCATTGCCGAAGTCGTGGCAGGCGCAGCATTCTGTGCATCTGAGCGTGTGTTTGCGTGGCAGGGGCAGCATTTGGCAGCTGTCTAAAGGGATGGGATGTTGTCGCGCGCGCGGCTCGGGGCGCGCGAAATCGTGGCAGGCGCAGCACTTTGGAGATGCCATTGCCGAAGTCGTGGCAGGCGCAGCATTCTGTGCATCTGAGCGTGTGTTTGCGTGGCAGGGGCAGCATTTGGCAGCTGTCTAAAGGGCTGGGATGTTGTCGCGCGCGCGGCTCGGGGCGCGCGAAATCGTGGCAGGCGCAGCACTTTGGAGATGCCATTGCCGAAGTCGTGGCAGGCGCAGCATTCTGTGCATCTGAGCGTGTGTTTGCTTGGCAGGGGCAGCATTTGGCAGGTGCCTAAAGGGATGGGATGTTGTCACGCGCACGGCTCGGGGCGCGCGAAATCGTGGCAGGCGCAGCACTTTGGAGATGCCGTTGCCGAAGTCGTGGCAGGCGCAGCATTCTGTGCATCTGAGCGTGTGTTTGCTTGGCAGGGGCAGCGTTTGGCAGCTGCCTAAATGGCAGCATTTGCAGCCGTGCCAGAACACATCATCGAGCCGCACTTCAGGACACCCCAATCGAAAGATTCGGACGCGTGGATGATTTGGAATTTGCTTGCATCTGCGGTCGCGGGAGCGACCTTAGTACGCTTGTAGAACCAGCTGCAACGCAAAGAAGCCCGCAGAAATGGGGTTCCGCTCTTGGAAGGCTTTCGTCTTGAAGTACTTAGCGCCTTACAGCGCAGGATGCATGGGGCCAGGCTGGCAGATACATGCTGCGCCTGACGCGTTGGCACTTCAAGCCATATGTTAAACATATGCCGCTGACATATGCCATTGGCGATGCCAATGCGACCCCTCGATCTGCCAGAGCGAAAAACAAAGTGCTGAGAGTTTTCGACATAGCTGACTGCGTGAAGGTTTTGCATGTGAGGGTCTTTGCATGTCTCGGATTTGGGATTATTCGCTGCTCGGCAGATGCAAGTGTCGCATACTTCAATAAGCATAGACTTGTGGGGTTACCCGGCCCTTTAATTAGTTAGTTAGTTAGTTAGTTAGTTAGGTAGTTAGTTAGTTAGTTAGTAGTAGTTAGTAGCTAGTAGCTAGTAGTTAGTAGTTAGTCAATAGTAGTGATGGTACTAGTAGTAGTAGTGGTAGTAGTAGTAGTAGTAGTAGTAGAAGTAGTAGTAGTAGTAGTAGTAGTAGCAGTAGTGGCACTGGTAGTGTAAGTAGTAGTAGTAGTAGTAGTAGTAGTAGAAGTAGTAGTAGTAGTAGTAGTAGTAGTAGAAGTAGAAGTAGTAGTAGTAGAAGAAGTAGTAGTAGTACCTGGTGTTGTGAAAGGGGGTATGGTTCGGGGTATGGTTCGGAGGTATGATTCGTGGTATCGTTCGGGGGTATGGTTCGCACAGGTCAAACTTCCATCCTTTACTAAACCTTGCGCACCTTAAAAAAGCACACACCCATCTGGACTGGATCTGGAACAGCGTGCTGAGGATGTGGGTCCCTGGCGCCAGCGTGAATGTTCAAGGGCGCCGGCGCATCCATGCCAGCTCAGGCAAGGGGGCCGCGCAATGAAGCATGCGCGGGCAAATGCCGATGCAAGCGCATGCATGCATGAAACGATCGGTGCCCGGCACCATAGCTGAGGCAGCCGGGCACGTGAGCTACGGACGCGCAAAGCTCAGCAAGCGGGCTTCTTTAACGTTGACAAAAGAACATGAGCGGTGCCAGGACGGCTGTTCAAGGGCACCGGAAACAAACTGCGCGCAGAGAAGCAGGCGCGTGCAACCACCTATCAAAAGCGCGCTGTGAGCAACGGTGGCAGAGTGCAGCTGAAAAAAAAGTGTGATTGCAATCGCACAAAGCGGCTGCATGTGATGTAATCACACAGTAGTGCATCCATCCGGAACACTTGCAAAGCAAGCAGGAACTCAAGCTTGCTTGGTGTCGTTGCTCGATACAGAAAGGGCTAGGATCCTTAATCAGATTGCACACGAAATCCCTTTGTGAGGTCCGAACCCACGGATGGCTTCCTTTTAATCGTCCCTAACCATGCCAAGAAAGGGGGCAGGTACCAACTCCAATGAAGCTCACATCGAAAAAGGGGGCCACGTGCCCAAAATCCGCGCAAAGGGATTCCCAAAGACAGGGCAGGTACGCACAAAAGCGGGGCCTGTCCGTGGAGAAGCCTACGAGTAAGCAGATCGGCGCGTTGGGAACGGTCTCAAGCACCTGGCATTGGTGACACTGCTTGTGTTTGAGGGTACCCTTTAGGTGACTCAGGTTGGTAAGGAAAGCTCGATTCGGAAGCAACGTACGAATTGTGGGATTCTTGATTTTGACGCTTAACCTCCGAGGGACGCCGGCCATAAGGTACAGCAGGGTGAAAGAAGATGGTAGCAGTCCCTTTCTGTCGGTAAGAGAGGCGGATTCTGAAACCAATATTGGGGAGTTGTAGCACTACTTTCGCCCGACTGTAGCTGGTACCCTCTTGGTGGTTAGGTTAAAGGGCAACAGAAGAACTACTTCATTGTGGGGGGGAGGTTCTCTATTTGGGCCTAGGGTATAGGGCACCCTCACTTTGTCCAGGGTTCCAAATTCCCACCCTTACACATCACCGCGAGGAAAGAGGAAACTCACTTCAATCGGTCGATCTTTCCAAAAGGTGCTGTCTAAACCAAGCAACGGTTGGGATATGTACCGATTTTGGCAAAGTTCAGCTTGGGGCAACCTCGACAGGAACTCCGTGGTGAAAATTATGCAAGCCTTAAAGCCATTTGTTTCATGGCAAGACGCATTGCGCCATGAAAACTCTAATGTGTGGCCATTTCCACATGCCATCTTCCATTCCAACATGAGGCACTCGCCGATTCAACTGATAAAGCCCGAGTGCTTTTTGAAGGATGCGTGCCGAAGTGCAAAGGGTGCTGAGAATCGATCTGGGAGAGAAAAAAGGGTATGTGTCAAAATGGGGCAACCCCCCTATAAAACACAAAAAAGAAATGGTGCTTGGTCCTTCTGCCTTAAACCAACCTAAAAAGGAATACCTCAGAACAACCAAAAACCCGCATGCTTATATTGGCTGTGGGTCAAAATGAAACCACCATGGGACCACAGGCTTAATCCATATTTCCATTTACCAGGGTTCCCATTTTTGGTGCATATTTTTGCCCCACTGCCATATAAGTGTGATAGAGATAGGGGTCCTGTCTCCGCTTCGCGCCGGCGCTTTTCGGCGTGACTCGCTGGCCCTCAGTCGGCCGCCTCAAGCAAGGCTCAGGTCCAGATGTTTGGGACACTCGACGGGTGTTTCTGAAAATGGGTGTGGCTCAAAATTAAACGATTGGCGGGGCAAACCGCAGGTTTTGGTCCATGTTTCTACGCTTTCCAGGGCAAGCCATTCTGGAATTCCGGTTTTTGGAGCCACAGCCAAATAGGAATCGGTTCCCAATGCTAGGCTTCCTTTCAACCCTTTGAATACTAACTAAGAGAGGGTCCATCATTTTGAGAAACTCCCATATCGGCGTGTTTTGTGGGTACCCTGTTAGGTTGGTTTCCTTTCTAGCCAAACTAAAGCCGATCATTGAGGGATCCCACAATTTTCTGCATATCCGCATACCAAGCCATAGCTCACACAACATGGACACTTGCATACCCTTTTGCTTTTGTACGCTGCCACCAACTACTGATCGAGTGGTCTTCAGGAGTGCCATGCGTCTTTCGCCCAACCACCTGGCCTGACTTCGTGAGGCTCAGGCGGCACATGGAGGGAATCACTCTGGTGGACATGAACCCATAAATCCAATCCACTTGGAGAACAAGGAGACGACCCCTGTAAGGAAGAACACAATCTGCATTTAGTACTACAATTCCTCAACCTAGAATAAGGACTCACTATGTAAGGGACCTTCATCACAGGTGAGCGCTTCTTAGCACCAACGTATTCTTTGGGGAGCCATACTGTCAGAGGGCGCCGGATCTTGCATTCTGCAAGAATCCAACCTGAGTCTGACCAAACAAGTTTTAACGTTTGCTAAAGCTGCTAAAGTTCAAATTACCGCAACGAAGAAACCAGCATTTTCGGAAGTCTAGCATTTGCTAACAGGTAAGGTTGGGCAATTACAAGAGCAGTGCGTTCCGAGCAAGGCCTTTTTCCGAGAGTTTCGTTGGAAAATGGTCTTCCAGGACGAACGGTTCTATGTCAAGAGGGCATTTTCAAGAAAACTGGGTCCACTACAGCCACTACAGTCATATCTTCAAAGTTCAGCTTCCCTCTAGTCGGTTTGGATTGGTGATTTAGTAGGTAGAGGTGGTTTCCCGTTTACCAGGTACAACAACCAGGGATTGCCCGAAACCACCAATCCAAACCACCAAAGGTTTACCTGAAAAGTTAGCCTCCAAATGGTGGGACCAATAAAAATACCAAAAACAGTCAGGACTTGGAGTCAACTGGGACCAAAAACTGCTCAAACACAAAGAAACCAAAGAAACACCAACCGGAAAAAAAAAAGAATCCACTGGGAGGGTCGCCCATGTTCTTTCTGGGCCAAAGGCTTCGAAGCCCCCCAGCGGTGCCACCTCAGCTGTCCGTTTTCAGATCCTCAAGGTTGAACACTTTTGGGTGACATTCGGAAACCCCACCACTGGGTTCCACAAAAACTCATAAGCTGAGGAAACGGATGGCTGGGAACCACCAAGACGGGGGGTTGCGACTTCTTGGCCTCAACAAAAACACGTCAAAGTCAGTGTCAAAAAAAGAGGCCTCAGCCTTGCCCCAGACCGTTCATTGGACTGTCGGCAACCGCAATTTTTGGGCTGAACAGAAAGGGGACAGCCACCGGTGGAGTTTGCGTTTCGACACCTGCAGGGGTTCCCTTCTCTCGTGGTCGCGCGTGCGCGGGATCAGTTTGGCCCCGGCAGGAGCCCCGTCATCGAAGAGCTCGGCCAAGCGGATGGCCTACGGATCGAAGGTGGGGCTAGGCGTGGCTGTGGACCCGCAGAAATCTTGGCCCAGGGTCGGAAAGCAGGAGCATCAGGAGCCATGACCACGCCTCACAGGTGTGCATATGGCACACATTGTGGCAACTGCAATTGGGGCCCCTTTGGTGGACAGCATTTACGCAAGAATTCGTGTCCACCAACAATCAGTCTGGGTGTTCCAAATAAAAATAATCACTGCCAGAGCGACCATATGAGCAACTTGTCCTACTCAAAATTACCTTCTCAAAATTGCCGACTCTAAATGGTGGTTTGAAGGAAACCAACTCTGATTTGAACCAGTTGAGTGTGTCTTCTTTAGGTGACTCCCCGAAATACTGGTTTTCCTTTTTGGTTTTAGCTCCAATTCGATTTGCCAGTGCGAACTCCTGAAACTTCCTCTGCAAAGAAATATGAAGCCCCAACGGGGGTTCCTTCAAAGGGGGTCCCCCAAAAGCGAGTTTCCTCTATAGTCTACAGATACATGGGGGTGCCGAAAATTGGTGAGACTCCCATTTGCGCAGCATCCAACACACGAAGCCCTGGGTTGGGGCGACCCACTTTGGGGCCCAGAGGTTCCAAAGAAAAATGCAAAGCAAACTCCGCCTAAGTGAGAACCATAGTCAAAGCTGCCCGGCTCCCCGAAAAAAACTCCCCCCAAATCCAGCACGGCGCTTGGCAAGAAAAGAAACCCGAAAAATGGGGCGTCATGATTTCTTCTTTGGTTCCAAAAGGTTCCACCAAAAGGAAAGCCACCAAAAGGAAAGCCACACCACCTTCGTGTTTTTTGGTTTGAAAGTGGGGGGTTCCCACCAGGAAGACACCTCCTGGCACCCCTCGACTCGACCGCTCGACATCTCTCGCCTCCGAGAGCAGCGCCGCCACGTTGCCCCGCAGCGCCTCGCTGCGGCGCAGCACCAGCCGCGTGGCCTTCGACTGAAAGGCTGCGATACAGAGCCATGGGATACGGATGGTTGCGAAGTCCATTCCGCACCACGAAATGAAACCATGGTTGAAACCATCGTTTGCTTGGTATTTACCAAAACAACATCAACATTACCAGGGTTTCTTAGGTGGTGCAGGATTTCGTCCATCCACAGTAGGACAATGAAGCAGCATCCCAAAGACTTGCAAGACCAATCCAAAAGGCCATGGGTAACCAATGTTACCCTTTTCTTTGCACCCTTCTTGCGGATTGAAACCCTTGTTCTTACCTTGCAGCCCTTCTCTCACCTTGGATCCGTCTTTCTCAACCTTGAGACTTCTTTGAACCTGCTCAATTGCGGCCTTACATCGGCAGTCTGCTTTGCTGCTACGAATGACCCGTGCGTCTGCATTGTCTGCATTGAAGGCACTAATTTCTGCACCTTGTGTTGTAGTAGGGGGTTAAAGTCTTCGTAGTCTTTTTAGCTGTCGTAGTAGTCAATGCCCCCTTTAAAGCTTGGTCTTGACGACCCCTTCAAAGCAACTTCGCAAGTAGAAGTAGTGGACATCGTGCTGATAATGTGCATGCCCCCGCAACCGCTTGCTCCGACCGGCCACCGCTATCCAGGCCTTTCGGAAACTGTCTGGCCACCGGTCCATAGGCACATTTTGGCACCACTTGGCGGGCTTATACTTGGCTTAAGGTGCCTAAGGCGGTTTAAGGTGGGTTAGAGTGAGTTGAGGGTTGGTTTAAGGTTGGTTTAAGGTTGGTTTAAGGTTGGCTTAAGGTTGGCATAAGTTGGTTTGGGGTCTGCTGGGGGTTTACAGTATGTTTAGGGCGGGGCTCAGGGTTTAAGGTGGTTTAGTGTGGGTTTGGTTTAGGGTGAGTGTAAAAGTTTAGGGTTGGTTTCGCTTGGTTTTGAGTTGGAGGGTACTTTTTCGGGTGTGGCAAAACTACTCCGGCGCTCCTCAGCCCGGCTCCGACCCGCGCCTCTCGCTGAGGCCTGGCAGAAGAGTTGACACCCAAAGGCCTCTTTTGTTTGATCAACCACCGGCTGAGAGGCCCCGTTGCCTCAGTGAACCGTCAGTGAGTCAGAGCAAGTCCGGAAAACGGTGTGGGGGAACACCGGAAAAGAAACTATGGCAACTCTTGAACAAATAATGATGGGCCCCTACTTGGAAATGTTGACTTCAGATTCATCCAGGGCACCGTGCTAATCAGGGGTGGTTCCTCTTTCAGTGCGGACATTTGACCTAGGCGGAATTGGCGAGGATCATCTCGACATAGACTCTTAGCCATAGACTTCAGGTAGGCCAACAGCAATGTGCGAATAGAACATGAAAAGGTCCGTAGATTTGACTCAAAGAGTTCACTTGAGGGTGGGCAAGAATGAATAGTGTCTGAAGCCACATGTGTGCCCACCGCCTGAGAATTCTTATGGGGCGACCCCTCCCTTCGGAGACAGCCCCAGTTCCTTGAATTTACAGCATGTATTGATTGAAACTGGTGAGAGGTCCCTACCCCGAAAGCAGGCGCCTTCCACTAGAAAATCCGCCTGGTCCTCACCATCTTGCGCCACGGATTGCAGGCGCCCATCCCAGGAAACTGCCACAAGATGAGAATCCGGCTACTTTCAGGAGAAAAAAAAGGGGCTCGCGGGAGATTCATTGTTGTTCCCTCTTGTTGCGTGCTCAGGCGATGTGGGTGCCCATGCCCGCAACTACTGCTAATGGCGATGTGAGATAGTGTATTACCTGGGCTGCCCTCAGTTCCCCCGCTAAAAGTTTAACTTTTCGTGGATTAAATGGAAACCACCACTTAACACTAAAAGGCTAAAAGGGTGAGGGGATGGCTAGTAGCCGCCAAGTTACTTGAGGGTACGGCAAATCACTGAGAAGCGATTTGCGCAAGAAGCTCATCCTTGCCGAACGAAAGGATTGGCTCAGAGGTGGGGCAGCTGAACTGCCATCGGGACCCAAGCTGTTGGCGGGGAATCCTTCTATGGCCGTGGGTCAAAATCCCGTACCCCCAAGTGAACATCCCAATCCCCACTAAAATAGACTAAAATGGGTTACCCCAAAAACGGTACCATTGGTTTTGACCCACGGCCCTACAGGAATCAGCACTCAGGGAACTGAGTGGACCCTTGGAATCAGCGACCCTAGCCATGAAGAGAACTTCAGTGGGTCCCCATTAAAGGTACACAGCGTGTACATCTCGATTTGTTTCAAGCATCTATGGGTGTGTTCCGATCATGGCTTATGGACACTCTCCATAGTTGGGAACTTTGGACGCCTGGCTGCCAAAAACGTTTTGACCAGCACTCCAATAAACCTGCACATTAAATGTCTGGCAGGCCTCTGGGCTCCCCGACGCTTCCAACGCTTCTTCCAGCCTCGCACGCCTGCCAGCCGAGTGACCCTGAGAACCCTGGCAAAACATCGAATCACTGATCTGGGAAATTGGCTGACTGAAAACAGTCTTCGACTTGTGGGGCTGCTGCTTAAAGCAATGAAGAAACATACTAACAACAAGTTTCAAGCCAACTTCAACGGGCAAGATTTCTAATTGATCCAAAAAGTCAAAAGGGCGCGAACACCGCACACCCTGTTGGCTCTGGTTTGGATTCAGACCGAAGTCCTTCTTTTGGCCAGGAGTGGAAGACTCGGTGCAAACAGCGGCATGTGCGTAACGAGTCGTCAAAGCCTCACCCGTTGCCTCACCCGTAGAAGGAAGACTGGCATGTGCCCGCCCAACGATAAATGATCAACTCACACGCGGGCAGAAATCCTGCGCTGGCATGGACCTAGACCCTGGAGGACTTTCTGACGTGTTCCTTGAAGACCCAGGAGAAACTATCCTGTTAGCGGTTTAAAATCATATCAAATGAGCTTCTTCATGCTACATGCACTCAAAATGATGTGTAGTCACTTTGCTCTTAATTCAAAGTTATCATTCTGTCGCACGTGCCCTGAGAAATGAAAGAGCCATTCTCAACCCCCTAAATCTGGACGACTGCAGATGTGACTTGCTTGCTATGGGAAACTCAACGCCTTGCGCCCGATGAGCTGCCTTTGGAAACCGAAACTGTCTAATGACGCGCCATTTCTATTCAAGAGACGGCATTTGTCACATCACATGAGCAAACAAGCGCCTGGATAGAAGAAAACTACGGCCGAGCGAGCAGTTGCGGTCACGAAACTTGTACCCGGCAGTGCAATATTGTGCAACTATCTGCAACCCGCATTCCGCCGGCCCCTTAAGTCCTCGGCAAGGGCATGTTCTCAGGACCTAACGGGGCGCTTGGGTGTCCACTCCAGAGATGTCCCAAGCCCAGCTCCAATCCATTTCCGTCTGTCGAGTGGCACGCGCGCCGTGATCGAGGCCAAACTTCTTGCCTGGCCATCCCGATTTCTCTGAAACAAGCCTGGCCAGAGCCCTGTGCTTGGCAAGCCCACCATTTTGAGGTGGTCCTAAACTGGATTGACCTTTTGAATTTGCTGGGAAAATAAGGAGATCTCCCCTCACAGTGTCTGCATTTAGTCACTGATGTTCCTCTTGAAAAGTCCTAAAGCTGTTCACACATTCCGAGCTGCCAGCGAGTGGAATCTGTATACAAATTGGAAAGCAACACATCAGAGGGAAGACCGCAAGCAATTTGAGCATCACGCCGTCGACAGCCTGGAATCGACGGCAGAACAAAACCCTCCCAAGCATCCTTCATGTGAAGGCTGCGGTTCTCCTTAACCAAACAGCGGGTGGTGGGGGGGGGAGGGGGGGGTGGGCAACGCTGAATGCATGCCGACAACAAACCGTAGCCAGACAGCAGATCCTGCCATGAGACGTGCGGGTCTGAAATGAAGCTAGACAGCCTGTAAGTGGTAGCCTGACAACTTGGAATCTAGCCAACTGGTAAGAACATCAACATGGCTGGACAGGAACCTTCATGGGCCTCGCACAACCACGATATGCCCGCCCACTCCAAAACACTCCGCACGTGAGCACACCTCGCCGGCCAGATCCGCAGCCAGCTCATGCGCGGCGATGTCCATGGCGGAACGGTTTCCCCCCGCCCCGACAGGTTGGATCTCAAACCATGGCTTCCAGAGGTCAAATCTGTTAGCATCTCGCGGACGAGTCGTGCCCTTGGAATCAAGAAACAACTGGTAGAACCTCTGTATTCACCCCAGCATCCAAGCCTTCACGCCAGCTTTCGGAGATGTGTTTGGTGGCGCGTTCCGCTGGCGGCCATACGTCATGCTTGCGCAGCATGTGTCTCATGTTCAGGCGGAAAACAGCCGCTTCATTTCTCTTGCACCTGCGTTTCTCACTTCGCAGGATGGCCTCCTTACTCCATCAAAGTCACCCCAAGTCTTAGACTTCAGCGAACTGACCTCAGTGTCTGACTTTTTGTAACCCACAAGTGGCACGATTCAAATCTCATTGCTTTCTGAGTCTTCCTCATCTTGGCTTCGAGTGCAGCGGGCTGTCATCTGCAAAGGTCTCTGTCTTGACTTGCCATCAGCACATGATCCTTCCGCTTTGAACCAAATGTCACGTGCCGACAAAACGTGATCGGTTGCTTCATCAAAACCAAAAACCCGCAGCAAAAGAGACTTTTGGGCTGCAAGCAAGCATGGCTGCACGATATAACGCATGGGCAGTCATTTTTTGAGAGTACCCCTTGAAGCTGCTTTGCAGGAAATGCAAAGAGAAACCACCGATGCCGGGGTTCCCCCATTTGGAGCTACTGTAAGCCGTATAAACCCTCAACATCCTCACAGGGTCTCAACCTGTGCGGAGGCAGCAGCTCAATTTCCTGACCCAAGACCATCCCATCCTGGCAACCCCAAGGAGGGATGACCGAGGATATCGAAGACGGCAATCAAACCAGGCAAGGGCAGCAAGGGCAGGACAAACTGAATTGCTCAAATTTGGAACATCCGGTGTTCCGGGAGCATTGAAACTTTGGCCTACAAGTTAAACATCATAGCTGGCACAACCAAGAACCCATAGCCATTATTCCCTGGTCACATAGTGGGAACATCACAAGCCACGGGAAAAACGAGGCCACGATGCACCTGAACCTCGAAGTAGTATCGACCCGCCTGGCGCAGCTCGGGGCTCAAGACATCACCCGCGCGGAAACTCACGTCACTCGTGGCCCCAAAACGTGATGTTGTTAAAACCCTTCCAAGAAGTGACAAGAGGGACCCCTGAAAAACACAACACAACAACGGAGTGAAGAAAGGTGAGGGACATGAGTTGATGTCCAAAACACTCAAACGGGGGTAGGGGAGCCTTGAAGCTCAAATTCGACGCTGGAAATCGGCTTTTTGTCTTACACTGGAGACTTTCTGCACCATTTGATGGACGAAAAGCAAAACAGCGTCCCACTGGACAACTGGCATGGAACTTAAAGCCCCAAACAAAAACAAAAGAACCAGGCCTTCTGGGAATGCAGGAAACCTTCAAATCCAATCACACTCCTTCCCAAGACATGGTTGTTTGGTCAATAGACTAATAGACGCTGCATCGGTTCGAGCCCTCTGTCCCACACAGCCGTGAACTACGTAGGCAGAAAACACCAAAGCTGGAGTTCCAAAAAGGTTGTTATTGTGCACCTTCTGTTTGTCGCTTTGCGACCCCGGCTCGTCTCACCGGCACAAAAAGCAAAACGGGCACCAATCAACAGTCACTGAACCCTCGCATTCATACCAGAAATGCTCGTCGATGTTGGAATGATGGCGATAGATTCCATCCAAGATTCAATTTCCAGAAGTCCCGCTTTGCGGGGCCGCCCTTGACATCCTGACTTTCTGCAAACTATTTGCCAGGTCGGCACCACGCTCGCCCCTTTCTCGGAACATACTAGCTGACCAGTGCTCTGGTACAGTCTGCAGGTTTACATAACGCTTTGTTACTGCCCATCCAATGCAATTGCGATAGCCCAACATCGCCATGAAGTTATTCTCTGGGGTGCAAAACCGAAGCCTCCTGCCCCTGTCATACCAAATCGCACACCAAAACAAAGGGATGACTTCATCTTTTCGAGCCACAAGCAGAACGATGTTACAGTTTTCGGGCCCGCCATGCTTGACTGCCTGATCCGGCTAGATTTGGCAACGTCCCGACGAATCTGCGACGGCGAATCATGAGTCCTGGCCATATTTGTATACTATGCATCTGGCCAGGACTCACACACACACACACACATGGCCTTATGAGACACACAACCATGTCTCATATGTGTGTGTCTTATATGGCCATATATGCGTCCGGGCCATATAAGACACACACACACACACCCGTATGGATAGAAGCTGGAAAGCTCCCTCACGCCTTGGCACCAGTGTTGGCACGTATCGCTGAGCGAAGATGCCTGACGATGGTCGCTGCAAGACCGGAAAGGCGTGGCGATATCTGGAATACTGAAATGCGTGTCTCAACACAGGGAACCCCCCAAAACAGAGGTTGTCCCTTCGGTTTCCCTCAAACCCACCCCCTCAAAAAGAGACACGACCAAATCAGGCCTTCGTTCGAAAAGGCTTGGTCTATTGTATGGCTCCACACGGCATCAAAGGGCACTTCTGTGCCCCTGCCGGATATTAGGATCTGCTTGCCATTGCTTGCTTGCTTGAAGTGATCTGCGCCATTAATCATGTTCAATGATTTGCACGACAATGGGTGAGCAAGTTTCCGAGCTTCTCCAAGTGCATGCAAAAAATGCTTCTCTTCTCTATGTGATCATCTTGCCCACATGGATGGGCATGTCTTATTCCGATCCTTAATGATCAAGACTCAAGCTGTTGCAACAGCTTGGGGTACTGCCTCTGTTTGGCAAATGTCTTCAAGCCAGAAAGCAGCCTCATGTCCTGTAGGTTGGGCTACAGAAAAAAGTGCTTGCTATTGATTATTTCTGCGAACTTGACTGCGTGGTCGGCAGCTGACCACGTTTGCTTCATCCGCTGCAACAAAGCTACAAGTACCAGAAGAGGAGGCCAATGCAAAATGTCTCTTGCGTGATGCTTCACCACGCGCGAAAGCAGATCATAGCAACAGACTCTGACAGAGTCGGCGGTGTCTCGAATACACACGTCATGGCGGAGCACCCGATGTCGGCTCGGCATTCAGCTGTGAGCAAGCCGCAACGTGTGAAGCCATGAAGCCAGGCTCACCTCCACCTGGAACCGAAGCAATCCTCCACTTGGATTGGATGTGGGACATCTTGCGCTGCTTGAGCCTATGATGGTCCTTCAGTGATTAAAAACAAAAAATGCCGATGCTGTGGGGGCTAGACAATGATCTCACTATCCACCTATCAAATGTATTGTCGAAATGGTGCCTAGCATCCCTTTGGTTTCCCCTACAGTATAAACAACAAAAACGGGTACCATCTCAACAAGAACCGCTGGCACATCGCGGCGAAATCGAAATCGCCCAGCTGGCCTGAATGCCCCCTGTGATAGAGAGGACACGACCCTGGCGTGCGAAATGGTCACTCCAACATGTTTCAGGCATAATACTACAAACACATTCCACAATACATGCATAACACCTTATCTGGGTGAAGTCTCTCCTTATTGTGGGTATATGAGCCCATTGTGATGCGGGTCATGGAAACACGATGACAAAGAACACACATTACATGAATAATCACTAGCAAACCCAGGGGCATATTAAGACACCTTCACGGCCGAGGCGAATCAAACCCCAAGGTGAGGCCGCGATTCGATTTGCCCAGCGTGGCAAAGGTCTTTTTACGTCAGTCGCAACTTTGCCACTGGCGTCCAGCAAAGAATGCAGCTCGTCCTGGCCGACAATAAAGTGCATTTTGGGTTCAGCTGCAAAACAAGCAGTGGCAGCGCACTGCCACCGCCATGTGTTTGGAGGGCCACTACACCCAATCAACGAATCAGTCTATGCGGTTCTCATCGCAAGCTGATTGCTGCCTGGCATTCCTTTCTGTGGACTTGGGCTTGCTTGCGTTCTTTTTTCTGGCAAGACTCTTCATTTTATCCTAAGCCGTAGGTCCTAAGCACTGCCATCTTGCAACGCCTTGCAGTCCACCAAGCCAACTTGTGGTGTCCTTTCCGACTCATTCTCAAATAACATGTGGGCTCTGTTCTTGGTTGAGTCTTAAGCGACCCCCAAAAAGAAACTAGGTCCTCCACAAGAGAGGATAGAATAAGGGTACCCTTTTTTCTGTAGTCTATTTTTTAGTAGGGGAACCCTCCCCCCAAAAAGGGTAAAAGGGCACTACTGGGGGACCTAGATTGAGTCTTAAGCGACCTCCAAAAAGGAAAGGACTTAAAGGGGTGGTCCAGGAAGGTGGGGGGAAATCCATCAGTTGCAACCCCTCCTGGGACAGTGGCCGCACGCCTCCCGGTCTGGTCCTGGGCACATGTCCGAGTCCGCCGAGGTTGGCGCAATTCCAACCCATCTTGGTTTAGTCATTCATCCCCAGTATCATGGGAATTAGTGGAACAAATCCAACTTCAATCATGTTGAAGATCCCCTTTGTCCAAAATATGGGAAATTTGCGATCTTAGGGGCAATTGGAAAGCTACACCCTCCAAAGCAGATTCGACTTGTCAACAGTCTCTGAATCTCAGGTTCTCATGTTCCTCGGAAATTGAGAGAGACGTTTGCCATGGTCCCCTTTCCACAAGCAAGTCGCCCAAGTACCGGCAAGCCGCTATTGAAGCCTGAAAGTTTGCTTGCGGATTTGCAAGCAAAAATCAACTTGCGTAAGATGCCGTCAAATAATCAGAGAGGCGTGTACATACTGCGCCACTTGCTTGCTACAACTAGACAGGACTGGATGGAGTGGTAGCCAGAATGGCCAGTGAATGTTGTGTGATCCAATGGGACACTGGGCCGTTGAATTACAGGCAAATGCTTGACCTCTCACAACCGTACCCTAGCGCCAACACGTGTCTTACGCGCCCTTATATTTTTAGTATGACTCTATGGTGGTCAAACTTGGTGCCAAGTCAGTTGCTGAAACCTCCCGACTCTTTGCCAAAGACAAAATTGAACCACTGATGTTAGGCTTCCCTTTTTTCTCGTGGGTGAACTGGAGCTGTCTCCCTGGCAACTTGCTATTGCCAGCCAAGGGGCAGAGCGGCCTCCAAGCTGAGTGGGCCCCAGCGGATACAGCAGATCTCCCTCGGCACAGCACCCACCTCAAGCGCTTCGGAAGGGACCAAGTGGGCCACCCACAAGCAGCGTAGCTTCAAAGCCTCCGGTGGCAAACGAAAACAAAACTCTCTTCCAAGTGCTGCAGCCAGTGAATCTCCGGGTACAAAAGCAGAGCGGCGCAGGATCAAGCATGACTTGCATACCATCTTGACAGCCGACTGCCAGGCCATACTGGCAATGCACAATGCTGGCCGGCCAGGTTGTGCCCCTTCACCCCACCGATCGAGATTAAAGTGACCGCTTCCTACCAAAACGTGCCATGGAATTCCATTCCGAACATAGGCTCCATCCTGCCGTTTCTTCGTTCCATCCCCAAAATAGCGGTGGATCTGCTCGCTCCCTTTCCCAAGCCACTAATGTTGACCCAATATTTAATCAACACCCGACTATTAATATGCGAGTGTTCCCCTCCAAAGGTGATGAATCCCCACTACCAGGGACACACCTATATTAATGAACAGGGTTGATGAATATGGGGTCAACATTAGGTAGTAAAGTCACAATAGTTTAAAAGGTTTTCATCATCAAAGACCACCCCATGTTTCAGCTACATCTTGACTGCATCTCTAGCTTCCATTTGGTTAAGACCCCTGAAAAAAAAAAATATATATATATATATATATGCAACCCCCCCCCATGGACCCTGGTTATACTGCCTTTTGGGGATGGCAAATCTAGAATTTCCAAATGTATATTCTCGAAATTTCCAATTGTGGGTCCCCAAAGCGTGATAATTTGGAGCCCGGAGTCCTCCACAATGTCCCAGTATGATACCCTTTGCACATAAGATGTTACTTCAACTAGAATTGGAATTTTGAATATAGTTTAGTATGGATATAGTTTTCAAAAATGTGTTTATGTTCAATTACAGCTTAAACAAGCAAATCCTTTCCAAATAGCAGCCACATGAAAATGTAAATATATATTTTCGGCTAAACTCCAACTAGTCTATAACACAAGAAGTTAGATGGAAGTATTTTTCCCAAATATAATCCAAGTGGTAAGTATAATTTAAGACGAACACACCTCAATTTGCTTTTGATAATATCAAGTGAATAGAGACTACATCTCAAATATAATTCATATTAAATATGGCTAAACATTTGGAAATTAAAAATAGGATTTGTGTTGTTTACATTCTGGCCCTTTTGTAGCACAAGAAAGGTCCGACATTGAACTTGTTAGACGGTGTTCCAAAGGGAAATTTCAAGGGGAGAGAGGTTCAAAATCTAAAACTATCTCGAAACAGGGATTCTAGCTAAACCGTTGTATTTAAAGTTCTATTTGCGCAGGAAAGTTAATTCTATGTCAAAAGGTGGAGGTAGTGGGGGACGGTGTGTGAACGTACATACATATGTATATCTATATATGTACCAGTCCCTGGGCCACGTACCCCCCCCCCCAATGGTATAGTCCCCCCACGCCCCCGCATCATCCGCATCTTGGGGATGATGCTGGCAATGCTGGGGATGCTGTCCAGTACCGTGCGAGCCCTGCAGCTTCGGTCCCAGACCCCCTTTCACCCCGTGAACCAACACCCCCGCACCTCTCGCAACATCCTACCCTAAACCAAACCACCCTTTAACCCCAACCCTAAGCCTAAATCAACCCAAACCCCAAACCCACCCGAAACCCACCGCAAACCAACCCTGAACCAACCCTGAACCAACCCTAAACCAACCCACCAAGCCTCAACCAACTCCGAACCACACCCCAACCACCCCACCACCCCACCACCCCACCACCCCACCACCCCACCACCCCACCACCCCACCACCCCACCACCCCACCACCCCACCACCCCACCACCCCACCACCCCACCACCCCACCACCCACCCCACCCACCCCACCACCCACCCCACCCCCACAGAAAGGGGGGGGGGTGGGCCCAACCACCCAACCACCCCACCACCCCACCACCCACCCCACCCCCACAGGGGGGGGGGGGTTGGGGGGGGGGCCGGGGGGGGGGGGTCCACGGCCTGGAACATATATACACATACATACACACATATATAGTACCCCCAATGATCCTGCGCCTCCTCATAAAATACTGGAAAATGCAGTTTTTTTGAGCGTTGCACCTGCCTTTGTTACCTCCTGGAAAGGGGTCAACATGAGCATAGCTGACATGAAGCTCACCAAAAGCACTTGAAAGTTTGTCTAACCAATAACTTGAAAGTGTGTCCACTGGATCGCTAAGCACTTGAAAATTTGCTACTATCGGATGGAAGATTCAATATCGAAGATTACACAGAGCACTTTCCTGAGAATTGTCAATCCTGGCCAAACCCAAATAGCATTCAAGTTCTTCTAACACTTGAAAGTGCTTTACCACTGGATTGGGGATTCAATATTGAGGAGCCCACAAACCACCACTTTCCTGAGAATCATCCATCCTGGTCAACCCCTAAAATGTTCAAGTTGTTCTATCACCTCGAACATCCGTTACCACTGGATTGAACTATTTCACGGAAAACTGTTCCGAGAATCTTATTGAACACCGAGAGTATTGGGACAACCCTGGATTTTTTATAACTTTTTAAAAATTATGGATTCAAGATTCAAGATTCCCAGAAAATATTTTCTCTGATTCTTGAATCTTGCATCTTGAATCCAGACTTTTTTAATAATTTTTAAAAAATATGGGATTCAAGATTCAAGATTCCCAGAAAATATGTTCTCACATTATTGAATCTTGAATCTTGAATCCCATAATTTTTAGATTTTTTTTTTTTTTTTTTTAAAAATGTCTGAGTTGTTCTTGTATTCTTGGATGCATTCAAACTCTTTCAGATTGCAGGTGCTGATGTCATTGCTTTTATTGCATCTGTATGCATGCATGCGTATCATATACATGTACGACCCTCCCCCCATTTTTGACACAAATCCAAGAAGCAAAAAGAAGCATAAAACACTGGAAAATGCAGGTCAACCGCACCAAACCAGGGTCCATGGGGGGGGTACCATATATATATATATCTATATATACTTCCAGTAGTCATAGATTCCCTCTAAAACCAACAGGGGCAAGCAAAACAAATATTCCTCTCAGCAACTGGAAAAGCTTTTGGTTTCCTGTTGGTTCCCCTTGAAACCACCCCGGGTACCAGTTTCCGGGGCCCGCGGCAAAGGAAAGCGCTTCCCGCAGCGCGCGCGCCGTGCCGCGCAGCGCCACCAGCAGCATCGGCAGCTGCTTCTGCGGCGCGGGAGCCGGGGGCCTGCGAAGCGAAGCGAAGAAACCGACCAGAAGAAACCCATGGCTGTGATGAATTCCCTTAGCCAAGGGAAAATAAACATATTCATTTCAGCAAATGGAGCTCAGTTGTTCAGTGACCCTGGAGAAAAAAAGGGGAACCCTTTTTGGGGAAGACCTGTTTTAGTGGGGCAGCCACCAAAAAAAATGGAAAAAGGGTGCCACTGAACCACTGAGAATGGGTGGGGCAAACCGCAGGTGCTGGTCCATGTTTCCACTGACCGATCGGGCCACCCATGTTGGAATTCCGTCTTTTGGAGCCCCAGCGGGTTGGTATTTCTTGGGAGGATAAAAGGAAAACCCACCCATTCTTGGAGGAACCCCTACATTTTCATAACCATAGGTGTCCTTTTTTGGGGGGAAATAGATGGATTTCCCTGGTAGATGATTCAACCAGCAGGTAAACCAGGGCCATCTGTTTTTCTGGCAAAGCAACCAAACAGGACACCTATGCTTAGAAGCCCCAGTTGGGTGGTATTCCCTGGGAAGATCAAAGGCAAACCCGCCCGTTTTAGCGGACCTCTCACTTTTGTGTGTATGTGTATATATATATATATAGTGCATTGTGTGACATGGGGTCTGACATGCGCCCCAAGCCGACAAAATCCTTTCACCCAAGAAATGACTGGAAATCCCCTCCCAGCGCCCGGGACCTCCCCGCCCGACGCCTGCTGGGCCGCTCCCAGCGCGCTTCGGAGGAGCCCATCAACGCCCCGAGCTCGTCCGGCAGCGGCGACAGCTGTACCTCGGGGCTGCGTGGGCGGCTTCGCTGAGAAAAAATGCCACGGACACGGGAAACATGGGTTGGAAGCCAGCTTGAAAAGGAGTTTTTGTCTTGTTGAAGGGAAAATTGGGCGGATTTCATAGAAATATGGTGAAGGAAGGTCAAAAGGGAAAGTCCGGCGATGCGTATGGCCCATGCTGAACATCTGCAGATCATATTGAACCGGAATTACAAGGCACAAATGTCCTTTGTTCAACTGCGTACAAAATACTTAAATAGATGCGCCCATCTCTTTGGGTTATTTGTCCCAGCACCTGTAATCCTTGAACATGTCAGGCTCTAGGGCGAGCTCTGTCTCCAAATGAGCCAAGGTTAAAACTCCTTCTATGGCCTATGGTCGTGGCTCCCTTAGCAGAAACCATCATAATGGTTGAGGATCCCTACTACCAGGTGGATGACCATCCCTGTTAACCCCAAGCAGAGGTGTCCTTTGACCATGGCACATATAGGAGCCAACAGATATGCCTTTCCCTGTCCCAAGATTGCCCGTCATATGACCACTCGGGGTGAGTGACAAGGATAACATGAGGCGTTAGGCACAGAGAAGGAGCAGGGACTCCGCATGTGGTATGGGAAAGTCGCGAGCTGCATAAGCAGTCAGGGGCCTGGCTTTCATTGTTGCCCAAAGAGGCCGACAGCCCAGTCTTTCCGCGCTAACCACACAAAGTTCCCCCCTTCCCTCTGCAGTTGAGGGCAGTATACCCCTTTGTGACCATTCAACTTTTTGAGCGAACAACGTGCTGCTGGCGACGCGGTGGTGTAGAACTGGGGGGGGGAATGCGAGGACGCCAGCCACCGCAGGAGAGTCAACCAGAGCTTGCTATGCACAGCAAGAGGGAGTGAACGAGCTGGGATTCAAGGTCGGACCCTTTGTCTCCGGCTATGCTGCGTCAAGAGCAGAACTGGCCGTGATTGCATTGTGACAAACTGGCTGGGGCACCTCCAGTGTCCGTTACATTGCGCTTCAGATGGAGAAGCTGAGTTCGGCCAAGTTAAACGTCTTCCAGGGCTCCAACAAGGGGACGAGCGAGCCGGGCGACATCACGGCCGAGGTGCGGTTGTCTCCTCCTCAACCTCATCTGCGTCAGTGATGTCCTATGCAGGCGGTGCCCGGCAGCGTGTAGCTTTGGTCACAGTTCCGTGAAAGAAATTTCAATTATATGGGTTCTTTGAGGGTACCCTTTTTGCTTCAAGGGAAACCTGAAGGACAACACTGGGGGGTCCCTCTGTTTTAACACATGCACATATCATATCTGGCGTTCTCACAATGCCATTTCAAACAGCTAGTGTATGTTCAAAATGGTTCTGCGGCCTTTCAGAAATCCTATATTCCGGCCCCCCCCCCCCCCCCACCCCACCCCCCCGGCAGACACGGGAACATCGGAAGCCGTCCTTTGTGGGCGTGTTCTGGGATTACTTTACCATAAATGATCAAGGTGACCCTGCAAGTGCTAGGTCAAATGGAAGCGACCCTAGTATACCCCCATAGTGACGCAATATGATATGATGTATGGCCAGCCAAGGCATTGCAGGCGCTCCCTTCAAACTTGCCCAATCCACAAAAGACCGATCCAAACCACCAAAACATGCACGGTTTTTCGTGCCACGCAGATGCATCCAGCATCACTCGGAGACTGCTCTTTCCAGTTGCCATGCTCTTTTTGAAATTGACCCCTCATTTCCACCAACTCCCCCGTCTACCCTTGCAATTCCCCTTTTCCCTGCGGCAGAACAACATGGCACATGGCCCCACCTTGGAATTTGTTCCAAACTTTAAACCCAATGCGTGCAAAAAACGAAAAAGTCGACTTCTCCCAAAATCGGTTCCCCCTTTTCCCGTTTCCCACTCATCAACCGGGCCCTCCCCTGACGATATCTGTCTACAATTCCAAAAGCTGATTTAAGAACTGGATCCCCAAGTAAAGAACCTTCGCCATGGTGAGCTCGTTATACGGCATTGGGTCAAAAATGGGTACCCAAAATGGAACCCTGGTAAACGGACACATGGACTCATTTTTGTGCGGTCCATATCCTGGCTGAACATTTTGACCCGTGCTCAAACCCCCGCATCCGCGAGCTCGCCGCTTCATTGGGCAGACGCCGCCGCTCGCGTCCTCCACGTGCAGCGGATCGAAGCCGTGGGCCGTGGATGCCAGCAGCGCCAGCTGGGTGCTGCTGGGCCGATCCAGCAGCCTACGGCCACGGCTTTCTTTTACGTGGAAAGCTTTCAACATCTCGTTTAAACAAAAACGGTTGGATTCATACATATATATATATATATATATATACCGACCCTGACTCGTTTAGCTGAATTTTGGTGAGGGACCCTTCTTGCTGGTGGGATAAGTGGGGAATGAGAAATAGAATGGACTGGAAGAGGGTCCCCTTGAAGGAAACCACCAGTTGGATGGTTTAAATCGGGGTCATTTCATTTTTAAATCACGACCGAGCACCAGCAAGCCTTTGAACATCTTTGACAAATCGGTTGGGTTCACGTACCGACCCTGACTCATTAAATAACATTTGTGGGCCCAACCGCTTTTGATTGAGCTTTGGGATTCTGTGGACGCATTTAGGGGGGATTCGTGTCCATCAACCACTTTTGAGAGAATACAATTCATACCAGGAGCCATGCTGATGGCCCTTTTGGGTGTGGTTTCAAAGGGATACCCAAGAGAAAACCACCGGGCGGTTTTCATTTTGACACACTTTTCAGGTGGGTTCAACGGGACACCAAAGGGATAAAAAAGGGGTTCCCCCTACATACCCATGTTAGGTCGGCTTCCTGGAACATCCGCGTCCGGGTGAAGCTACGTGGGTCGCTTTCCTCCTAAAATGGGTGTGTCTTTTCTTGAGTGCCCCTGTTTCGGTGTGTTTTGAACACTGAAATCCGTTTGATTCATGGGCGCCGAGCTTGCTCATGGGTCCATTTGAGGGGACACACTTCATGCGAGTCATAGTCCAAACCCAGCATAAAATTGTCTACCCAAAACCATGTAAAGAATTGAAAAAAAGGCGGCAGTATCCTATCCATTTTATGGTTGTTCTCTCCAAACCCTGGAAGTATCCCGTGTTTTAATACACGGGTTCCAGCTGCTAGAACCCATTTGGAAAGAACACGTTCTTATACATTTCCGAACAGGTACAACACACCTATAGATTTAAACAATGGGCTAAAATTATATGTGTGTTTGACCTGGAGCACCTGTTCAACGATGTTCTGTGGGAAACCTACTTGGGCCTGTCTCAAAATGGGGGTACCCCTTTGTGGATGTATTTTGAGAGAAAACCCCACCATTTTGGGCTGTGCCGGGATCCCAAAATCGAGCAATGGCCAATCAACCCATAACTAGGGTTCTCTAGCCTGTTCGAAATCCCGGGGTGGAGCATCGAACATCAGTGCAACCCGTAATCCGAAATCCGCAAAAAGGATACCCGAATCCGTATGCCGCATAATCCGCAAACTGCTATGATGTTTTGAACAAGCTAGGTTCTAGGGGAATTAAGTTTGGCCAGTGCTGGTGGGGATGCTCCCCAACCTTTTAACAAATCAGTTTGAACATGAGGGACTCTATTGCTTGGCAACGGGTTGATTGGTTCCGAAAGGCGATCACACTTATTCACCTCCTTTCGCGCCCCATCCCTGGCCAAAAGTTCAACTCCCTGCCGGCTGCTTTTGGGCGATCATTTGGATCTCCAAGCCATCCGGCTGTTTACGGCCATTGCCTGAAAGATGCCCAAACCAATGAGAACCCACCAACAAATGTCCGTCCACAAGCCGATCCGGCTCAGACTCCGGCAGCCAGATGGGCTTTCGGATTATGATGTCGTGATCCCAGGGTTACTCAGTTGTGCACAAGGCTTCCATGAAATCACCCTAGCATTTTGGCAATTAACAGACGGGTTTCGTGGCCAATCAGCTGGCCATGTGTTCTTCGTCGAAAAGTTTTGGAGAAAACGGGCCATTCACCACTGTTTCCCGCATCTCAAAACAGGTCCGACAGTTCCAGCCAACGGTCTCCGGCTGATCCGCAAGGTTCCCTTGGCTGCTACCTGCCCCGGCGTCGCCATCTCAGTGGCTCTGGGCTTGGTAAACGTTCGAATCAATGGAGAACCGGCGTCGAAACTCGCGCCTCACCATGAAGGTCGCTGGTAACTCCACCAGCGGCTTCGGTCCTTGTTTCATGGGGGGTTGGGGTGGAGGGGGTGGAGGGAGCCCAAATCTGCCGACCCCTTTCTCCAAAGGGGAGGCCTGTGGGAAGGGTTCTTATCATCACCACTGATGTTGGGTGATGGGTTCGCAGCATCCGGATCATCAGCATTCTTCTGTTTCATATACGTTTCAAGTGTGCCGTTAGTATGCAGGTGATGCATAGTCATGATTGTTATGATAACTGCTGCTCATGCTGGGGATGCATAGTGATGACTATATCAGGATGTCATCACGGTAACTGCTGGTGATGCTGGGGATGCATAGTGATGATTATGAGTGATGATTATCAGTGATGATTATCAGTGATGATCATCATTACTATCGTGGCGCTCTTCTTTTTCATACGCGTTTCAAGTGTGCCGTTCGACCAGACAAGAAACGCAGAGGATGGTGATGATTGTCATGACAACTGCTGGTAATGCTTGGGATGCGTCATGATGATCATCATCATCATCATCATGACCCGACTTGACATGCAGGGGATGCAAAGTGACGATTGTGATCATGACTGCTGGCGATGCTGCGGATGCATAGTGATGATCATCAGCATTATCGTTACGCTCTTCTTTTTTCATATACGATTCAAGTGTGCCATTAGACACGACTGGAAATGCAGAGGATGCGTAGTCATGATTGTCCAACCGCCTCGTTCTTTTTTGCTGCATGTCTTGCACGCACGCCGGCATAGATGTCCTATGCGCCATGCAGCCACGCTGAAGTCTGCTTCTTCCTTTAGTTCCCCGCACTTCTGGCATCGCTTCGTTTCCTTGCAGTTCAGAAGGTAGTTAGAGGTCCCTCACCACATTTGATGCTTGATCCAAGGGAGGGGGTCGGCGGCACTGGGCGGCCCCTTAAATCTGGCTACGCCTCCTTGGGGTAGCATGTCGCCGCTAGGCAATTAGCCTGCTAGCTTTTGCTATAGGGGCTGCACCCGTGTGCCGCCGACCCTCGTCACTTGGTCGTGATGCGTTGCCTAAATCCGGCACCTCTGCATCACCAGCTCGGGCTTCGGTTTTGCTTGCCTGTGGGAAACCCACAGGCAAAACATCACGTATATGCAGGGTTTAGGCCATGTGGCTGACATCATCAGGCTCTCGGGTTGGGCTTGGGTGATGCTTCAGCGGGGCTTGGTCTGCATCATCAAGACTTCCTTCCAAAAAGCCTCTCAACCCATGAAGCACTGTTTTTTAGAAGGTATCGGAGGGATATGAGCGAGGCTCATTTTCGCGCATTTTGGCGCCAAGCGCTGCCGGGCATGCCGGCGATGCTGGGTCCTCGGTCTACAAAACGCTGTAAATACCGTCCAAAACTGCTGTGCTGAGCGGTGGGCTGTTGTTCTGTCCGTTTTGCTTTTGCTGTGCCCGGCTCGCGCGCTGCGCGGTCCTTGCTTTTTTCCCGTTGGTTTTCGGGCCTTCTGGCGCGCGCGCGCGACCCCAGCCACAAAAAGCTGCTATTTACGGCGTGTTGTTGCATTTGCGTTTCCGGGCTGGCTTGCGGGCTGTTCTTTATGGGCTGCTCTTTCTAGGGCCTCTGTCGCGCGCGCGCGCGCGACCCCATGTCAGCCTTCTGGGTTTTTGGGCCCGGTTGGGGCCCAGAAAGCTGGCATCCCCGGCATCATCTGGGGTTGGGGTGGGCAACATGCATAACCTAACCAGCCCTATCACAGCACAGGATACGTTTCTCATACAAAAAACATGACATGACATGGTATAACTTCAAAGAGGCGTAGCCGGCTAGAGACCGCAGGCCCAGAAATAAGCCCTTCGTAAGGCCTCATTAAGGGCTTGATTGGCAGCTTGTGGCAACCAAGATTTCTCCGCGCTTTTTCACCAGCTGGAAATGTCGAGATCCCAAAGCCGACTATGAGGCACTGCCCTCAGCATGTGTCTCCCAGTTTCGAGTCGCCCGTCAATAAGTGCCTGATGAATCAGAATCACCAATGTATTACCGGAGGGTCCAGCCAAACTTCAATCAAAAAAAAGCACAACTCGTAAATTGGGGCCCTAATAACTTTCATACCCAAGCGTCTTTGACATGGGGAGCCCCACCTTGACGGTTCAAACAACGTGTCCCAAGCTGCTTGTCCCACAAGCGGCCATTGAATCCGTCAACATCGCTGGGCCCTACGTTGGCTTTCACAGCAACCCCAGAGGACACCAAACCGATTGAACATGTTCGCTATTTGAGGGTCGGCACGCAGAACCAACTTTGACCTCCCCCCGCTCCGCTTTGCCGTGTCCTGTTGGGAAAACAGAAGACAATGATAATTGATAAGCAAATTGAAACCAGCGGAATCCATCTGGGTCAAAAAGAAAGGAAACACGACTCTATTTGTTTGTTGTGGCAGACGAAAACTTACCAAAAATGGGCTTGTCTCAACATAGGAACACCAGCAGCCCCTTTGAACCCCCCCTACGATGGTTAAGATGTTCTTTGGGTTTGCTTCCCTTTAAACCCAAAGAGGGTATACCAACCTTTTCTAGGGCATTCTTTCAAAAACCTGGGTTTCCATGGTAAATACCTCCTTTTTTAGTAGAGGGTCGACATCATGCCCGAAAAAAAGCGTGGGTATTGGGTGTACGGGGCATTTCTCATTCCCCGCATCTCTCGCACCGATCGCAAGCAGAACTCGTTTGATCACCCGCCTGCCAGTCCCCGGAGCTCCGCGCGGTTCGTCAGCAGCACCAGGCCGGAGCTGGGCCTTTGGTTCGAACCCCGGAGTTCGAGGCAACCACTTCAACCAACCGGGGAAAACACCCCTTTAGGTTTGCACAGATCTCGACCTGCGGGACTTTGATGGGGGTTGTCTTTAAAAAAAAAAAAAACCTTCTTGCTAAGGCTTAGGCGTGCTTTGCCATTGGGCCATGTCTTAGGGGAGCCCCTTGGAAGGGGGGACCCGCTGTGCGCTTTCATACCTGACCCAGAAAGTTTCCAGATACCTTATTGTTCGCAGCGCTAAAACTAAATCCCAGGGAGCACCCCTTCTGCATTTATTTGTCCGTGTATTTACTTGTCTACTTATTTGTTTGGTTTGGGGAAAGTCCTTCGTAACTCACCCTCAAAAATGGAGAGCGGGAGACTGTGAGCGTGCACTTGTTTGTGCATGTAAAGTACAAGTAATTCAAGAGTGTTGCATGTGTGCGTCCATATCATGTATTTGTGTGTGTGTGTGTGCGTGCAATTACTTTGTTGGTAAACCATTTGACTATTTCAGTCAGTCAGACTCAACCAACCAGTCCGATTATTTGTTCCCGTGCTTAAGTTGTCGATTGACTCTATTCATCAAATGACTAGCTTCTATATGTTGCACGGCTTTGAACAAATGTAAACTTAGTGTTTGCCAGCAAGCTTGTTCAACAATGATGAAACCAGTCGAAACACACCAAATGTGCATTAACACATATCGGGCATACTATTTGACATTGACGCATTCAATTAATTTTGGCATTTGCCCTGAAATATAGATATGGTATAATAGAGTTCCAAACCAACACCAGAACTTTGGGGGACGGGCATGCTCAAATTCACTGTCCGTGGGGTTATTTATATATATATATATATAGAAACAAACAAAACATGAGCATGCATGCATGCATGCATGCAAGAAAGAAAGAAAGAAAGAAAGAAAGAAAGAAAGAAAGAAAGAATGAATGAATGAATGAATGAATGAATGAATGAATGAATGGAATGAATGAATGAATGAATGAATGAATGAATGAATGGAATGAATGGAATGAATGGAATGAATGGAATGAATGGAATGAATGGAATGAATGGAATGAATGGAATGAATGGAATGAATGGAATGAATGGAATGAATGGAATGAATGGAATGACTCTTTGAAGTACCACTCAGGTGCTACTGAGGCCTTATTCGCAAAACGGTGCCTCCTTTTTTCCGCATAAGGGTTAGTGCCAAAATGGGAGGATTGCCCAGTTCCACTGGGCAGCTCCCCTCAGCAGCTGATGGGAGTAGGATTGATGCCACTCCCACAGCGAGGGAGGAATCCTCCCACCTCACCGGATGCCCTCCCGGCATCATGGGTGAGGAAGGAACGTAGCGAAGATCAGTGTGATCAATTCGCTCTCGACTGAGGGGAAGACCCGGTTCTCAGTCGGGAATTGCGGGTCCGGATGAGTAAGCTCATCCGCCCACGTGTTGAAGTCGCGCTTCACATGCGACGGCCCCAACATGACCTGCTGGTCATGCAACGTTAGCACAATTTCCATGAGGATGGCCGCATTGGGCATCCTGCGAGTGGAATCGTTAAGAAGGGAGAAGACATTGCCCTGGTTATCACTAGCAACCAGGATCTAGTGTGAGAAGCCGAGCCGGCTGCGCAAAGCAGAACGGCCCTCAAAAGGAGGAGGCCGAAGAGCTCCAAGGCCGCTATCGCCCGCTGCGGGTCCCCAGTAGTGAAGGCCCACGGCTCGCCCTCCGGCGTGATTCTGTGTTGGAACCACTTCACACGGGACTTGTCGGGGTTGGGCACGTCCGAGCACCAACCACCAACCCATGCATGGTCCGCCTGTCTGCCAGCTCCCGCATCAGATGCCCCCGTCCATGGGAGTGTGGGAGCAAATGGAGATGCCAGTGGGAACCTCTGGTTGAAGAGTCTCCCCAAAAGGATGGCCAGAGCACGAACCAGCTTCGGTGGCCTGCCCGAAGTGGTGCAGGCCTTCTTCCAGCTCCAAAAAGGCTGGAGGAAAGGTTTCGTCAATGGGCACGCCGAAGTAGCCCATTGAATACGGCCTAGGGCTTGTTCCACCTCCTTGCTGGTGAAGATGTCCCCCTGGGCCAGCCGTTTAAGAGTGGCCAGGATTATGACGTGTTTGACTGGAGCCAGCAGTACACAGGGCGTGATTGGGTCCACCACAAAACCCAACCAGGTATTGATCGGGGAGAGCGCCGTCTTTTTCCAGGAAAGCGGGACTCCCAGCGCCAGCAGTGTAGCCAGGATGGCTGTGGCGTCCCAGTCCGCCCGGCTGCATCTGAGGACCCAGCAGTAGTCGTCCACAAAGACTAAGTGCCAGTCCACCTGGGGGAAGATGTAGTACAAGAGTCTGAGCCCTTTCTTCCCCAGTACAGCTGTGCCGAGGCCATGCCGTACGTGCCCACTCTGTTGACCCACCACCGGTTTTGGATGCAGGCCACCTGGTATTTCCAGTCTTTAGGGAGCACTTTTATACGCCTGTGGGCCTTGGTGACATCCGCCTTGAGGATGATGAAGGTTTCCCCTGTGTCGGCGGCTGCCACCTCAGGGGTTCCCCCCTGCTCCCCCCAGGGCATTCCGTGCCCGGGGGGTTTGGGGGGAAGGGGGCCCTCCTATCAGGGCCCTCGGCACCTGGGAGTGGTCCCTTTCCTGAGGGTGTCGATCCCAGAGAGACGTCCATGCCGCCGGAGGTATCCATAATCCCCCTGCCCCGATCAGGCCCCTCGGCCCTGGGGGGCAGGCTGGTGCTGCGGGGGTCCCTCTCAGGGCCCTCGGCACCTGGGGACTGCCCCTGCACCGGCTGGTGAACATCCCGAGGTCTCTCCTCAGTGTTCGAGAGCGTGGCCCGAAGTAGATGGGGATGGTCCGTCGCTGTCCTGAGCCAGTGGATGGCGTGGAGGCAGTCTCCAACCATCGGTGCAGTGGTCTTCTCCCCTGTGTGAGCCTGGATGTGCGCGTTTGCTCCCCCTTTTGAGCCATCGTAGATCGTCCTGATCTTGTCCGACTCATCAATCCCTGCAAGGGGGCCCGGGCAAAGTTCCTCCGGTTTGCAGCGGCACCTCTCTGCCGCCTCGGAGCGAGTGAAGGGCCCGTCCACCATGTCCAAGGCTCGTTCCTCGTAAAAGGTTGATTCGATTTCCTTGGCAAAGAGTTCAGCCGTTGGGTAGTTATCATGAGCCACTGGCGGGGGGGGATCTTCCCCCAGCCAGGCTTCTCCCTTAAGCTCCTCCTTAGTGGGCCAAACTCCCGGGGAGGTCAAGGTAGGGTCCGAGACTCCCAAGGGGACCCCCTCTTTCAGTGTTAGGGGGAACTCCCAATCAGGGTCACCTGAAAGGGATGCCAAGTGCGACACTAAGTCCAGGAGGAAGGGTTGTCCTGGGCATCGTTCATGGAGGTGCCTCGGTCCTAGGATAGCCCGCAGCTCCTCGAGGTCGGCTTCCTGGAAGGGGTGTGTGGTGGCACCTGATGCCAGGGACATCCGGACCTTATCAATCCAGGGCCGGGTAAGGGTCATGATCAGGGCGCCCAAAGTAGCCAAAGGGGAAATTCTCCGAAAGGGGGGGTTGAGCCTCCCCGGGGATGGTTTCCCCCCCCCATCCCTCAGGGGGCGTGAGCGGAAACCCAATTGGACAATCGCAACTCGGTCAATGAGGCGTGGGACCCTGAAAGCGGGCAGACATTCGGGGCGGTCCAGGACCTGGTCCCCATGTTCTTCCTGCCCCAGTTGTTCCGCATCTCCGGCCATCGGGGGCATGGGAGATGGGAAGTCTGGGTTCATAGTTCCACGAGGGCTTACGGTGTCTGCCTCATGGTGGATGTGCCCGTGCTGGCGGGGCATTCTTGCCTCCGGGCTTTGGGCCCTGGTGTGACGAGGAGGGACCGCCTCCCTGATTGGGTCCCCGTTTTCCCCGGGGAGAAGGGCTGTCAGGGGGGTCCGACCCCCTCCCCTTAGGTGGTTCCTTAGGGTTTCCCGGGAATTGTGAGGGGATCCGGATGTGCCCCGGCGCTGCGAGTGACACAGCGATGGCTTTGGCCAGGCCTGCCATCATATCCCAAGGGTATCTGGGAGATTGCTGTCAAGGAGTTTTCCTCCATCCAAAGCTGCCCCTCCTCCGTGATCCAGAAGGATGAGCATTCCTTGGCTTTGGGCAGCGAGCTGCTCACCACTGGGTCCTCCGGGTGCTCCAAGAAGGACTTTGGCCCTGGCAGAGAAACCGCCGCTCTTGAGGCCCTTGCCAGGCTGGTGATGTACATCTGCCTCAAAATGAGGATACTGTCATCATCAAGCTGAGTCTGGGCGGCCTGGTCCAGGTGTGGGAGGCCCCAAAGTGTCTCTCGAGTGCGTCCTCGCACCGGGGTGGGGGCCCCCGGTTTTGGTATGTGGCGCAGGATGGACCATGTCCTGCAGTTGGGTCCTCCCCCAATGAAGACCACTCGGCCCTGCTTTGCTGCCGTGCAGAGAGCTCCATACAGCTCGGGTTGGAGCATGTCGTGGTTCCCTTTTGGTCCCGATCGTAGGATGTCTACCGCCACCACCATGCTGGAAAGGTGTGGGTAGTTGGCATGAAGACAGCTGTCCAAGGAAGTTGGGTCTTCCTTGCCTGCATAGAGCAGGACAATGATGGGCCCACTGGATGGAACTTTGGGCGATGTGCCCTGTGTCCATCTCAGCCGCTGTACCAGACGCTCCGGGATGTTCTCCATCCACGGGAAGATGTCCCATCCCGGTGACAGCTCCGTGGGACTTGTCAGGGGGGTAGCTGAAAGGCGTTGGCCCCCTTCATTCAGCCCAACCGAGCTCTTATGAAAAACCACCGGGTCCTGCTTGATGATGTTGGGCGCCGGAAGTGGGATCGGCTGCCTCCTGGGCGTGTTCCTTGGCGTTGCGGTGTGCTGCCAGTTGTCCGGCACTCGGGCCTGCTGGGCGCGGCCCCCCGTGTCAGGGCCCTTGGCACCTGCGGGGAACCGTCCCGTCCCTGCCGTCTCA